TAGTCACAACGGATCGGGCTAGTTCACGCAGAACGCCACTGGCAACTCCAATCTGCCGGTCGATTTCTTCCACAAATTTTCCATCACTGCTGAACACGATTCTCAGGCACTTGAACTTTTCCACCTGCTTCACTGCCTCTTCGTTAATCTGAAGAGAGCAACTGGCAGCAGAACGAGAAAGCACTGGGCCTTTTCTTTTAGATGTGTTCACAGTCATGGCGGCCACGTCGCACTCGACCGCGACCCGTTCCAGAGAGCGCTGGAGATCAGATTACGAAAATGGAATAACAACGTCGTCACAGCTACCTTCTCGTTTCCACATCTCCTACACTATTATACTCATCGCCTTGGCTGCTCCTGACTATTTTATCCATGTACAGCACTACGGGAAAACGGACAGGACGCAGCCTTGGCGGAGACCAATGCCAACGTTGAATAGCTTCGACTTAACGCCATTAACTCTGACGCGGCATCTGTTATCAGCATATAGTGACTGGGAGGCTTATAACAACTGACCGTTGAACCCGCATTTTCGCAGGCATGCCCACAGACCATTATACAGGATATGGTCATAGGCTTTTTCTAAGTAAACAAAGGACATGCGCACGGATGGGGAACTCCGATGAATCCTCAACAATCTGGCATAAGGCGGGAATGTGGTTAGAGGTACTTGGACACGACTTGAAACCACGCTGCTCTTTTGTATCTGACGCTGTCACACTGAACTCGCAGTAAGTTATTAAGTGGCACTTCCTTTCTAACACCTTTATATAGCCGGTCTCCCGGAGAATCAATATGATAATGCCCTGATAATTAGGCACCCTCTCTGTGGTATCTTTTCTTGAACAGGGGGACTGCAACATTTGTTCTCTAGTTATATAACAAAGTTAGTCAACAGATATACCAATATCCATTCCCTGTTGCTCATCAAATAAATCATTCTGCGCTTGCTCAGGATTATGTTGTTTTCCAAACTACTCTTTCCATCGCTGAAATGTGTGCTTTTTCGTAAGAAGGCGTCCGGATTTGTCCTTCAAGTTTCGGAGACTAACCTTCTTTCTGTTCTGTACGCAGCGAATGGTCTGCCAGAATACTTTATTTTCCGTCTGGAAATTTGACTCCGTTTTCTACCGAACTTTCCTCAGAAATCAACTTTTGCTTCGGTCAGCGCCTTCGCTGCCGATTTGCGAGCTTCTTATTTGAGTTGAAGGCTCTTTGATTCCAAGCTATCTGTTGAATACTGTTATCTTCTCGCTGACAGCAACTTGAACCTCTCCGGTGTCCACCAGGAAGCGTCAGGCCAACCCGTTTTAAACTGCAACATTCGGCGGCAGCTCAGAGTAAGTTGCTCTTAATGATCTCCCACTCGGTTTCCATTTCAGCGGCCATGACCGGGATCTGCGAAGTTGTTCTAAAGTTTCGCCCTCTTTTCCGCAGAAAATAATGCTTCCTAGTTGCTCCGGTTGCTTTTGCTGCATGTTTTAGCATAGTAATCAATCATTTGCAGCTAATGCCGTCAGCAACAGGGTGATGATCGGTTGAAGCTCAGCGCCTTTCTTAACGCAGACATCCACTACAGAGCGTCACAAGTCAGATGATACAATTATCAAGTCGATCATAGACTTCTGTGCACAATTTTTCCCATACCAGACGTACTGATGCATGTTTCGATGCTCGATGAAGGTGTTCATAACGAACAGTCCGTTGTTTGCTAAAAAGTACCGCAATTTCATGCTGTTACTGTTGATGTCCGTAACGCCATTGTTTCCAATCATGCCTTTCCATTCCAGAGACATCGCTGAACCAGCTGTTAAGTCCTTGACCTTGCTACCTCCGACGACTATGACAGCAACAACCTTTCCACGGTTTTCGTACCTGTTCCGACATGCACAATGAAATTGCCCATCAGAATGATGGATTTCTTAGCGGATCTTTATACAGAGCATTTTCTACTATCTCAGAAAGGGCTACTATTCTCTTTCGGAATTTGATGCACAGATCCTTAGAAAGGCTAAGGCTTTACCCTGCTGTAACTTCAGTCCGACAATTACCGCTTTTGCTGAGGAGCTTCCACCCATTCAGGCATTCTGTCAGCCAGGTGGGGTTCTCTCAGGACAGCTACTAGCACCCGCCTGCGCACAGGTCGTGAAGTTTGCACCTGAGTAGAGTAACTTCCACCCGCAGAAGTTCAAGAATTCAGGATCGTATTTACCTTCGGCACGACCCTTGGTAGTTCGGGCGACGACCGATCTGTTATAACGCTCGATAGTGGCAAAACCATGGAGAGCATATGGCTTAGTTTTACCAGAACCTCGTCACAGTCTCCAACTCTGCTGCTTTGTCATCCGAGCTTGGGAGTTGCAACGGCGGAGTTGAGTTATCAGGTAATAAAAATAATTCACAC